GAGAGGAAGAGGAGAGCAGAGGAAGAGGCTGCTGCTGCTGCTGGCCCCCATGACTCAGCACAGGCAGCAGCACCCTGCTCCTGCGGGAGAGACTACTTCCTGGATGCAATACCATAACAAATCCTCTGCAGCGTCTCCTTTTAATTGTAGTCGCTTTGTGATTCTTTTTCTTGCAATCTTGCAATTTCTTCAATCATCTGTCTCTGTTTTCTCCCCTCAGCCCACCGTAGTCCCATGTGAGGACTTTGACGTTACGGCTGACATCAAAAACATTAGAAAAGCATGTAAAGGTTTAGGTAAGTACACAGGAACCAAAAAAAAAAAAAAATCTTTATGAACATTGTTTGAAAACCCTTTTAAAACTGGAACATTCCTAAAGGGGCAATATTATATAAAACCAACTTTTTAAAATTTATTTTACCTTTATATCATGTTATATTTTTTTCCCTCATCAAAAACCCACCAGCAGTGTTGCCTTGACTCTTTCATGCATGTTTTAGAAATCCTTTAATCACCGCTGGATGCAGAAGACGAGTGGCATAACCAAGCGCTGCCTCCCCCACTCAGCTCCTTCAGACTAGCCAGCAACAATTAGCAAACACCTGGTGTTATAGGAGCTGCTTCTCAGTGAAACGCTGGTAAAAATGATGCAAACGTTTTAGCAGAAGAACGTTGTTGTGACGACTTCCTGAAGGTGGAGTGTCAGACAGAGCAGGAGCTTCTTAAAGAGACAGAGGCCTGACGTCACGTTTGATATTCACAACATTTTTTTTATAACAACTGAGGTAATAGTTACTTGATTGTGCTACAAAATAGCACGTCGTACCTGGAAAATCCATAACACCGCCCCTCTAATGAAGAGCCTAAAATGTGATTAGTTGTGTGGGAGACGCTCTAGTTTCTAATTTCTGTGTTTCTTCATGTTTTCCAGGCACAGACGAGGAAGCTATCATGCAGATCCTGGCCAATCGCTCTGCGACTCAGCGTCTGGAGATCAAACAGGCCTACTTTGAAAAGTATGACGACGTGAGTGCCCCACCCTCCTCTGTTCTCTGCTCTGTGTGTGTGTGTGTGTGTGTGTGTGTGTGTGTGTGTGTGTGCCCTCTGATGCAAATCCAGCTGAGCTGTGTTGTCTGTCAGGAGCTGGAGGAGGTGCTGAAGAAGGAGCTCACCGGTAGCTTTGAAAACGCCGTCGTGGCCATGTTGGACGCGCCGCAGGTGTTCTTCGCCAAGGAACTCAGGAAGGCGATGAAGGGGGCGGGAACGGACGAGGCTGTCCTGGTGGAGATCCTGTGCACGGCTACAAACGAGGTGGGCAGTGAGTTAGGTTGGTGGTGTTGAATAAAAGGAGGAATACGTTGTGTTTGAGCTTTTGTCCTTTTTAAAAAAAAAAAAAAAATTAATAAAACAAAAACTGTAGAACTGAGATTCAGTGTGTTTTAACTGTGTGTTGGTGTTGACTTTCACTCGGCCTCGTCTTCATTTATCCCACAGGATATCAGGAGCTACAAGGAGGCTTATGTCCAGGGTAGGATTTTCAAACTATCTACCGGCTTTTGTTTTCTGTTCGTTATGAAAAGTACAGCCAGCCAAATGAAAGGAAGAACTTTTTCCTATTTGGTCAGGTTACAACAATTGCTACAAAGCAAAAAAAAAACCAAAAACAATTCTGCTGGAAGGCGAACTTCTGCTCAAGTCTTTCGGTACCATCCGTCTGCCTGGTTTTCTAGGTGTTTATTGTTTCCTTTCAGTGAACGAGCGTGACCTGGAGGCGGACATAGAGGGCGATACCAGCGGAGACGTTAGGAACCTGCTGATCTCACTGCTGCAGGTACAAAAATCGACCATTGTTGGGGTTTCGGTCATCGACTGAAAGCGCTCCCTCTGGCCCCGCCGCCCGAGTCTGGAAGGAGAGTCCAGACGGGAGAAGAACGCTGCTTGTGTTCTTTCTCCCTCAGATTGTTTCTCAGAGTCGTTGCTGGTGCCTCGGCTCACCCACTGCCAAATTCGTCACATAGCTTGGGCCTCCGTGCCCCCTCCAACTCAGCTTCCTCTCTTTTTCCTTCCTTCCCCCGGGTAAATAAATAAAAAAAAAAAGGACAAAAAGAGAGAGTGACTCATGTCTTACAGCAGTGCCGTTCTGGGGAACTTCAGTGGCCTTCAACTGTTTCCTATTTATGAGCTCCAGATGACTGCTGACTCATTAAACGCCTTGTGTTGTTTTTGTTGTCCACCCTCTTTGACTTGCCCCTAATGTTCTCTCTCTCTTTCTCTCCACCCATCTTTCTGATCCTCTCCCCTCTCTTCGCTCTCCCATGTCTTCCTTCGCAGGCGAGCAGAGACGAGGGCTACGAGGTGGATGAGGATTTGGCCGAACAGGACGCCTTGTCTCTGTTTGAGGTGTCCTAGTACAAGCTTCTCTTTATGATGCATTCAGCTCAAGAGAAACATGATGGTGAAGTGGAAGGAAATGGCTCAGTTTCAAAAGTTCTTTTCAAATACAGAATCAGAAAAGCAAAGGCATGGATTCAGATTTAGGCCCCCACTACCCTAATGCAATCCAGTTCCACCAATTACTTTCAGAAGTCATCGAATCGGTAGCTGTCGGTGTAATTTAATCTCAGAGTAAAGGCTGACGTTCTGGAAGCCCTCAGAGGTTTGTAAGATAATACAAGAGTGAACAAACAGTAGTGAGCGATGAGGAGCGCAGCAAGAACAAATTTGTGGAGATGCTTGAAGCAGGTTTAGGTTGTTAAAAAGGTAGAGGCTCTTCATCTGATCCCGCTGAGCTTTAAGTATTTTTGCAAGGAGAAATGGGCAGAAAATCTGAGACTTTAGATCATCAATGCTGCACCGCAAAAAAAAGCAAAATGTCACCATGTATTTTTGGCCTGGTTTCAAGTTCAAATATTTTGGTATATGTGAAATGGGACAAAAATAACTTGGAAGTAAGTTTTCAGCAAGAAATGGCAGCTTGTTTTAATTCCTTAAAGCTGATGAAAAATTACGAGTCCCGCTGGCAGATTATTTAACTTCCAACATGGGGAAAAAAATGTCTTGTTATAAGTGAAAAAAATCTCCCAGTGAAACTAAGAGGTTTTTAATCAGTATCAAGGAATTGGCTTCAAACAATATTGTGCTGAAATGTTACTTATAGGTTAGTTTTATCTTATTTCAAGTATTTGCAGTAGAAACTAGATCAAAAATACTTTAATTTTAAAACTTTATCATTTTCCTTCTTCACAAAAGTGCATTACTTTTTTTAATATAAATTCACCACCTCTTCACAATCACTCCTCAGTCATCAAAGAACTTGCAACCAGCCTCCTAAAATTATGTCTTCATTTCTCTAACACCTGGCCAAGATATCAACTGTCTTCTTAACCGCTTTGTGAGCAAATAACAGTCTGAGAGAGATACCTAATACAACTGCAAACACTCACATATGTTGGCGTATTATTTTCGTTTTGTGTACACAACAGGCAGGTGAGGGCAGGTTTGGTACAGACGAGTCGACCTTCACCTACATCCTGACACACAGGAACTACATGCAGCTTCAGGCCACCTTTAAGGCCTACGAGTCCGTACGTACCGCACCGTAGTGAACCTACTCCAAAATGAATCAGTTTGCCTCCTTTCATTAATTTCACACACGCTTATGCTGCCTTGCTCGCATGCAGCTTTCGGGGACAGACATTTTGGACACGATTGATGCCGAGGCGACAGGAACCCTCAAGGACTGCTATGTTACTCTTGGTAAGCAGAAATTGTTTATCACTGTATTTATTTACGACTGACACCTGCTTATTTCATGTGTATGTGTGTTGATTGACAGTGAGGTGTGCTAAGAACCCGCAGCTGTATTTTGCTCGCCGCCTTAATGCTGCAATGAAGGGACTTGGCACTGATGAAGACACGCTCATACGCATCATCGTAGGCCGCTCTGAGGTAAAGTGTGTTTGTTTGTAATATCTTGCGGGGACCATTTTCCTGACACATACGACGTTGTGGGGACCCCTGCTCCTTGTGGGGACCGAAGTCTGGTCCCCACAAGGGGAAACGCTGTTTTTGGGTCAGGGGTCAGATTTAGGACTAAGGTGTGAATTGAGTTTTGGTTAGGGTTAGGTTTAGGCTGTAGAAATGAATGGAAGTCAATGGAAAGTCCCCACAAAGATACCCATGCAAACGTGTGCGTGTGTATGTTTGTGTGTGTGCACGCGCGTGTGTGTGTGTGTACACAGCCTGGGGTGTTATTATAGACTTGACAGGGAGTTAAAGGTATGATTGCGACGTCTTGCAAAAGTGCAGTGCTATAAATGTTCACCGCCTTTCTGTACAGAACTTTGGTAATACATGTCTAGGGAAGGTAATTTTTAATTATTAAATGATTGATTCTTTGATCGGTGACTCAGTACGTGAGCTTCTTTTTTATTAAATGTAGTTTTACTCTTACTTGAGTCATTTCTTGGACAGATACTTTTTACGTACTTGAGTAAAAATAAATCAAAGTAGAACTTTTGAGTACAATTTTTGCCTACTCTAGCCAACTCTCTAGCAAAAGGCAATAACTTTTTACACTGACTTGAAGAGCTTTCCATTCATTTGATGGTACATTCATGTCTTTTGAGTCATTGATGATGAATTGAGCAATAAAAATATAAATATTACAGAATATAAATGTTATGGATGCACCACTGTCCTGTTTCCAACCCTCAGATTGACCTGGAGACGGTGAAGGACATGTACCTGGAGAAGTATGACGTCACCCTGAAAGACGCCCTGGACTCGGAGTGTGGGGGAGACTTTAAGCGTCTGCTCATTGAGATCTTGCACTGAATCACACATTTACATTCACGTCCACTCCTCACCCAGCCTTATTCTGCTGTGATGTAACAGGATGCCACTACATACTCTGTTTTCTATCACTCTTCACTTTCTACTCTGTCCTTTCTCCGTCTCGGACAGTTCACCTTACAGCACGGACCAAAAAAATCAACTCGATGTAATCCAGTTCAGTGTTTTGATGTGTGGTAATTTTTTTTACAGGGTTTGTTAACACTTTTGAGACTTTTCAGAAAATCGTCTTGGTAAATCTATTCAACTTGTAGTCCAGTTACTCAACAACACCACATAATAGCGGAACTAACAGCATCACGTTCATGCATCTTAAAAGTTACAGCGAAGTCATCATCTGTTATTTCTCTATTTCAAGCTGCGATCGTTAAGCGTCTAACAGAATAACATGCATTTGTTTCTCATTGATTGTTCACATCACTATTTGCCTGAAGGATGGCCTTCACAAGATTATAAGCGATGCAAGTTAATTTCTGCTGCAACACAGAAGTGCCCGATTATTGTGCCGAGTCTTTAAAATCCGAAGACATTTGAGCATTTTCTAGGAACTTCAAATATTGCCACCTCTTTCTGAAAGGCTTGGTTGTTTAAGGGATTCACTGCAGGCTTTTTGGTCGCGTATTTCAAAAGACTAGCGAGACGTGTAAGTGTTCCAAGTCATTTTTGAAAGCTCACATGTTGCCTTGTTCTTAGATTTCTAGACACTCTTAGACTTTTTTTTTTTTTGGGTTGCATTGAGTATTCATATTCACTGCTTTAAAAAAATAGCTATAATTGATTGAAACCACACTGATTAGTACGTAACTTTTGAAGTGCAACGTTCTAAAGTAGTCACACTGAGACTGAGCTCTGTTAAGTAGAGTAGTATGAACGCATTGAGGCATAATTGAAATATTACATATTACAATGTAACTGGTGTAACTGTATACATGTAACAAAATTTAATAACTGATGTCTGTTAGTGTTTGTACAATACTCTTATGTAATAGATATTAATAAATTTTAACCACCTGAACTGATTTAATTTTTCCTGTAGAGGGCAGTGTTGAACCATTTCCGTCCCCCGAGTGGGAGGAAAAAACCAATGACGCTAATGATGTACAGTCAAATATTTCCAGCCACACATAATATAAAATATAACAGGATGATAATATTGTACTTGAAGGTTATGTTAGTTGCTCTTCTAAGTGACGTGTGTTTAACTTCTACATTCCAGGATTGCACAGAGGTTTCCGTCAACAAGTTTGACCCCAGTCACCTTTTGATTTATACCAGAGTGAAAATCCTGTGTGACATTGCTGGCTGGGTTAAAACTTGACAGTAAAAAAATAAAGTATGAAATGATTCCAGATGTGCCGCTGTCACATAAAAAGCCAGTGTCTCTCCCTTTGCCTCTAGATTCCCCCCCCCCTCTTTCTCCGAACTTCTCCTGGTTTATTTCACCAGTTTCAGAGATCAGTGTGCACCTGTTTCTGTACTTTCTGTACAGAAACAGGTA